ACCAGTAGCTTTCTGGAGGCTGTCACCACCATCTTCTGTACCCTGTCACCTACCCAGGCGCCTCAGTTCATAAACTGATAACTTGGGAGCAAAATCTCTCTTTGCAGACTTTACCCTTTGATGATGTTATTGGAGGGAAGTTTTGGGATGCAGACAGCAGAGCCCCATCTTGGGTTTTTCCAGAGTCCTGAAAAGGGCAACTTTCCCTCTCTCAATTCCTACGTGGTTCCCACACCATTCAGAGGGCGACCTGCGACAGATTCCTGCGATTTTTCATCCTTGGGTTTCTCCTCTGTTGAAACTCTGATGCCTATACTCACCTAAGAGTATAGGTGCAGATAAAATGAAGCAAGATATGTAAAATGCCTCACGCTGTGCTTCATAAAGAATTGATCAAAAAATGGTAGTTTCTTTCCCTCTGAGAGTTGTCATAAAAGACTCTTCACATCCCCAAGAGCAGCCCAAGAGGATGTAAACTCAAACAGCATGACTGGGGATCAGACTCCTAATCCTTTCTCCAACCCCCGTATAAGGAACTTCAAGGAGTCAGTCCCTTTCAGAAAGCAATGTCCCAAAAATATGCAGGTTACAGACTGCCCAGCTGGGAACTTTTTTCTAGCATCTTAGTCAGCTTTAACTGGTAAGAAAACACCTTTTCGGTTTCCCTGGGCTCTACCTTATTGGAGAAGCAGTTTAAAAACTGTTCCTAATCTCCAAGGAGTTTCCAGGTGCTTAATGACTTGCCAGGGTAATAAACAACTGAATTCTGGGAAACCATTATGTGAGAATCAAAGGAAGCAGCATGATCGGGGCAGAACTGGGAAAAAGCATTGGTTTTTGAAGTCTGCCAAATCTGAGTGTGAAGCACATTTCTGTTGCCAATAATCATGTAGTCTTTGGACAAATTGCTTATGTCTTTGAGAACTAAGGTACTTATCTGTAAAATGGGTATAATATGTATCTTGCAAGATAAGAATTATACATTCAAGGTAACAATGTATTAATTATCTATCACTGCATGACAAATTGTCCCTAAGACCTATTGGCTTAAACCAACTTATAATCTCAGTTTCTGTGGGTGAGGAATCTGGGTAGGGCTTAGTTGGGTCCTTTGGCTCAGGGTCTTTCCCAAGGCTGCAGCCAAGGTGTCAGCCCAGGCTGTGATATCATTTCAAGGCTCAATTGAGTAAGGATCTGCTTCCAAGCTCTCTCGTTGGCTGTTGGCAGGATCCAGGGCCTCATAGGCTTTTGAACTGACGCTGTCAGTTCCTCACTGGCTGTTGGCTGGAGTTCTCCCTCTATTCCTTGCCATGTGGGCTTCTCCATAGGGCAGCACACAACATGGCCATTTGTGTCATCAGAACAAGAAGGCAAGCACAGCACAGGGAGATCAGCTCGGTGCTTTGTGACCACCTAGAGGGGTGGGATAGGGAGGGTGGAAGGGAGACGCAAGAGGGAAGAGCTATGGAGACATATGTATATGTATAACTGATTCACTTTGTTATAAAGCAGAAACTAACACATCATTGTAAAGCAATTATACTCCAGTAAAGATGTTAAAAAAATAAAATAAATAAAAACACGTCAGCCTTTAAAAAAAAAGAAAAAGAAGGCAAGAAGAGTCAGAGGAAGAGAGAGACTGGAAGACAGAAGTCACAGTCTTTTATTTTTAACTGGTAAGAAATTGATTTTTTGTTGATGGCCGTTCTTACTGGTGTGAGGTGATACCTCACTGTAGGTTAGTTTTGTTTGGTTTTTCTTTTTATTTATTTATTTATTTATAGTTTTGGCTGTGTTGGGTCTTCGTTGCTGCGCACGAGCTTTCTCTAGTTGCGGCGAGCGGGGGATACTTTTTGTCGTGGTGCTCGGGCTTCTCATTGCGGTGACTTCTCTTGTTGCGAAGCATGGGCTCTTGGCGCCTAGGCTTCAGTAGTTGTGACACATGGGCTCAACAGTTGTGGCTCGCGGGCTCTAGAGCGCAGGCTCAGTAGTTGTGGTGCACGGGCTTAGTTGCTCCGTGGCATGTGGGATCTTCCCGGACCAGGGCTCGAACCCGTGTCCCCTGCACTGGCAGGTGGATTCTTAACCACTGTGCCACCAGGGAAGTCCCCTCATTGTAGTTTTGATTTGCATTTCTCTAATGATTAGTGATGTTGAGCATTCTTTCATGTGTTTGTTGGAAACCTGTATATATTCTTTGGAGAAATGTCTATTTAGGTCTTCTGCCCATTTCTGGATTGGGTTGTTTATATTTTGATATTGAGCTGCATGAGCTGCTTGTATATTTTGGAGATTAATCCTTTGTCAGTTGCTTCGTTTGCAAATATTTTCTCCCATTGTGAGGGTTGTCTTTTCATCTTGGAATGACAGTTTGTCACTTTTGCTGTATTCGGTTGGTTACAAGCAAGTAGCTGGGTCCAGCTCACATTTAAGTGGAGGGGACTACACAGGACTGTGAGTCCCAGGAGGTGGTTGGGAGCTGTTTTAGAAGCTGTCTGTCACGATATTTAAAGATTCTCAGTAAATAGTAGCTGCTGTTAAGACTGAATACAAAAGCATTTGGAAAGCATCATTCATCACAGAAATAGGAGAAATCTCCTGGATTATGTATTAGGGTGAGGAAATTCAACAATCACATGACACTGTCAGTCTTTTTAAAAGAGGTTGATTCTAACCAATGCTCGCTTATCCAAAGACTGCATTTAAAGATACATTTAGGGACCTCCCTGGTGGTGCAGTGGTTAAGACTCCACGTTCCCAATGCAGGGGGCCCAGGTTCATTCCCTGGTCGGGGAACTAGATCCCACATGCTTGCAGCAACTAAAATAGTTCACATGCCGCAACTAAGGAGCCCACGTGCTGCAACTAAGGAGCTCGCCTGCCACAACTAAGACCCAGCGCAACCAAATAAATACATATTTTTAAAAATTAAAAAATAAAGATACATTTAATTTATATCAAACAGCGGTTTGATAATATGTTACCAGATAACAATGTTTGGACATTAGAATTAAAAAGCACCCATTCCCCCTACATAATGTTTTATCATATATCCAAATCCCTTTCTAGTTATTTTAGAATGCCCGTGTTTTTATGGGGATGTAAATAAAAATATGCACCTCGATTTTCTCATCTAACAATATTATAAAGACATTTAATCCTGTACATTCTTTATAATTAGCACCTTAACAGCTACAAAACATTTCCATTCAGTAGATAAATGTCAGAGCCATGGTTTACTTAACCATTCCCTTATTCTGTGACATGTAAGTTGCTTCAATGTTTTGCCATTGAAAACAATCGAGTATCTTTTGCGTGGTAAGTTTTTTCCCCATCATTTGAATTGTGTCTTTAGGATAAAGTCCCAGAAAAGCAATTCGAATACGCACATTTTAATGGCTCCGTCAAGTTTTTATTCAAATGGGAAGATGGCTTTGGTTTTTATATAAGCAAACACTGCTCCATCGGCCCCAGACTGAGTTCCTCAAAGGCAGACACCCTAGCTTACTTTAAAAAAAAAATTTTTTTTAAACCATAGCATCTATAATTCGACTGTACTTCAATAAAAAATAAATTAAAAAAAAGCAATCTGACTCTGTAAAAGATGACACAACTAAATCTACCTGCATAACAATAATTGAATGGGAGAAACTTGTCAACTAAAAGAAAATACTTTCAGATATAGTTAAAAAAAACTAAATGGACTTCCCTGGTGGTGCAGTGGTTAAGAATCTGCCTGCCAATGCAGGGGACACAGGTTCGAGCCCTGGTCCAGGAAGATCCCACATGCCACAGAGCAGCTAAGCCCGTGCACCACAACTACTGACGCCCGCACACCTAGAGCCCATGCTCCGCAACAAGAGAAGCCACCACAGTGAGAAGCCCGCGCACTGCAATGAAGAGTAGCCCCTGGTCGCTGCAACTAGAGAAAGCCCACGTGCAGCAACAAAGACCCAACGCAGCCATAAGTAAATAAATAAATTTATATATTAAAAAAACTAAATGAAAACATATGCTATCAATAAAAGATATGCCTAAAATAAACCATAGCATCTAGCCTATAAGCAACATGTAGTGAACATTTGTGCACTGAATGAATGCATGAACAAAAATACTTAAAAATCCGAGACTTAAAGAAAAATATTTCAACTAGATCTATCGCATTTTTTAAAATCAAGAGATGTTGCATTTCCATTTAGATTTCACTAAGAGATGTGGAGGACTTACCCATGCCAAGCCCTGGCATTCTGTTGCCCTTCCCTTATTTTATTTTATCCTCACAGCACCCCCTAGAGTTCATTTTCCATACAGCAACAGAATGAAAGGCTCAAAGGCTACATCAGATTACATCACACACCTGCTTTTTTCAGAGGGTACCAGGAGGCGTCTATGTATTGATATTTGTCTGACAAGCTCCCATCACTTGAAAAGAAACAGAAGGTCCTCTTCACTGGGGAGAATACTAGTTCTGGGGAAACCTCTGCTTAGGTGGAAACAAAAGTTCCACTCAATAACCAGGAACCATGGGAATTTTCCTGAATGTAGTTCAGCCTCGGTGATGGGTCATTTTAGCCAAACTACGAATCAGAGTTATATAACACTTAGGTAAGCAGGGTGAAAATGACCCTTGAATAATAATTTAATTGGTCAAAATTTACTCTGGCTAATGTTCCTGGCCCCTGGGCAACGTGTTAACTCTTGGAATTCTATAGGACCCTCCTCCCCCAGCCTTTTTTTTTTTTTTTTAAAGAAATGTTCATCTTTTTATTTCCGGAGCTATCACTCTCATTTTTTAGACTCAGGAAACCGAGTCGCTTGCAGACAGTTTGAGTGACAACCAGAATTTATTTGCACGCGCTTTCGGAAACCATTGCTAGTTTAGCTGCTAAACTTGAACCGCAGCGCCCCCTGGTGGACAGAGGGTGGTTTGGCTTTTCCAGGCCCTCTTGCCACCTGGGCGACATCTCATCTAACTGGCGCTTTCTCTCCCTGTCTCTCAGGTGAAGGAGGCCATGCAGCGGATCCACGACCGAGGGAACATTGGAAAGTTAATTCTGGATGTAGAAAAGACCCCGACTCCGCTGGTGAGTCAAAAGCAGAGGCATCCGCTCAGTTCAACACCAGAAGGTTTATCTGGTGTAGGCACAGGTGGGATGGAGGGAAGTACAGGAAGCCCTCTGCTGGGCTGGGGCTGGTGGGGGGAGACCAGAGGTAATGAAACGAATGTGCAAGTGAGGGATTAGTCACAAATGGGATGAACGCTAATAAAGAAAGGAAAACGCTTTGGTGAGAACGTTTCAGGAGCAATCTGAGGTCAGGAGAGGACAAGACCACACCCGCGTCTATTACACCTGCTCACTCTTGGCTGCACAAGCGGGAGAAATTCCTGGTAAAATTTAATAAATTCACATTCAGATACCCAACAGCATGATGCCACCTGCCTCCGAAATGCCTCCTGATGGGCCCATGGCTTTTGTTTTCTCTTACCAGGACAATACCCTTACACGCAGGGACCCCACCAGGAGTGAAGCATGTCACACTCACATCCCAGACACTCTTGCAAGGGTCCCTTGAGGGGCTCTGCGGTGTGGCGGTCAACACAGTGACTGCCACCAGACTGCACAGATCCAGAGGTGGGGCAGGTGGACAACCATCAACAAGCCATACGCAGAAATGGGACACTGCAGCTCTGGATCGGGCCACAAAGAAGGGCTCGCAGGAGGGGGTCTGTTCCCGTTAGGAAAGTCTGGGAAGGCTTCCCTGAGGAAGCGGGCTGAGCACAAGAGGAAAAGCAGGCATTGAGTAGGCAGGCGGTGGAGGGACGGCGCTGCATGTGCTGTGGCCGAGAGGGAAGTCCAGCTCCAGATCAGCCATGTGGTGCGGGCGGGGGGACTGAGATTCAGGAGATGATTCCTGTTTGTACGAATAAGTGGGGAGAGCAGAGGTTCAGGGGTCAAGGGAAATTACCTAGCTCAGGTCTAGGACAAGAAGAGAACTCCGAGGCACCGTTCCTGAAGGGGGCTGTAAATGGATAGGACTAGGATGTTCTGAGCATCTGTCGTGTGCTCAGCAATTTGCCAGATGCTTCAAGTACATCATTTCCCTTTGTTTCACTTGGCTCCCATGACAACTTTATAAGGCAGGTGGGTTTATCCTCGTCCTAACGGTGGAGGAAATGGAGGCTCAGAGAGGTGTGACAAGTGTGCCAGGTACTAGCAATGATAAGAAGGTAGGTGGGTAGGTAGATAGATGGTAGATGGATGGATGGATGGATGGATGGACAGGACCAGAAAGAGTCCACATCTTCACAGAAAGGACGTTCCCATGGGGGAATATAGACAACAAAGTGGATAAACCCACATTTGTTACTAGTGTGCTTCTGGCTCCTAGGAAGTGACAGCATCAGGCTTTGAACCCTGGCCGGTCGGCGCAGTGGACGCTGTCAATGCCCACCCATGCCCCCGGCACTCATGGTTCCCCTGCACGCCGGTGCTGTCCTCCTGCTGGCCGCCGCCCCTCTCTGCCTGAGCGCGTCCTCTGGCCATGGCAGAGGCTTGGGTTATGCACAAAATCAGCACTCCCTGGCTTCTCCCCTGCTCATGTGTCCCCCACTGTCCCCCAGTGGTCCCCAGCAGGACTGAGCCCAGTTGCCCATGGCAGGACCTATTAACATATCCCGTGCCAGCTTCCTTGCCTTTTCTGTCTCCTTTCCTCACTCTGACCTGCGCTTCCTGGGATCATCTCCCAAGTTCTGGAATCATCTCCCCAATTCCAAATACTTGCAGTCAAATGCTTTCTCAGAGCCTGCGTCTTAGGGCGCCCAACACAAGTCACCTGGTACCACACTGCCTTCCTGAGGAATCAGGTGACCCTAGCGCTCAGCCCTCAGAGAAATCTTTCTCAAGGGCCTTCATCAGATGCTTGAAGAAGGCAGGAGACAGACTGCAGAACCCTCTAAGAAGTCCTCTGCTGCATTACAGATGGCCAATGACAGCACAGAGACCAGCGAGGCGGGCGAAGAGGAGGAGGACCACGAGGGTGACAGTGAGAACAAGGAGAGGACACCCTTCATCCAGTAACCCGGGGCCCGGGCAGGAGGGCGTGAGGATGCTCTGGAGAAAGAGGACCCGGCTGAGAAATCTCTTCTGCGCCCCAGTGAACAAATGCTGTAGTCCAGTGTGTGCTGTGTCTGTCTGCTGTCAGCTGAGCTAAAAAGCTGTTGATCACTGTTGTTTTTGAAATTAAGTGCCAATCCCATTCCATGCAGTATTATGTCCTTCCCCCATCTGTGTGTTACACTCTCCCCACTCCCCTGTTTCAAAACCATCCATCTTTGGGTCCTTCTCGACAGTTCTAGAACAGCCTTGCAAATTGATACAAGTCCACAGGTCCATTGCTTAAGAGACCAGACATGGGCAAAGACAAGTTTGGATTGAAAGGTGTTATCACAGAGCACTGTCCTAGAATTCTTCAGGCCAATGACACTTTTTGCTGCCAGCCGCCCATGCTTCTGCAAAGAGCGCTTGCCAATTTGGCTGGCGGAAAGAGGGTAGGCCAGGAGAGGTTTTCACAAGCCCGTAAGTTTAGGATCTCTCCAAGTTGTATTGTCCTACTTCCCACTGAAGAGGCAACCTCCTTACATTCATTCAAGTGTTTCACAGTCAAAAGGTTAAACCAACCTCCCCTCACCCTCTGATGCTTGATTCCTTCACCGGTTCTTAACCATAAACACAGGGAGATAGATGTGGATATTTCAGGATAGAAGATGGGTCAACAGCCAAAGTATGAGGACCAGCCACAGAGGTCCCTCCTCTGAAACCATATCTCATGAGCAAAATCCTCTCCCCGCCACATATATTTAATTTTAAGAAAACTCACCAGGTGTGGGACTATTTCAAAGTCATTACTGAGACTCGCCTATGTTTGCACACTTGCCATTGGCATTACCGATTCTGCTCTTTTCATTTCCTGGTACTGAATAGCAGCCTTTACCTTGGATCCCCCAAGAAAGATCTCCTTTGTAGACCATATTTGGGGGGAAAAAATCAATGAGTATCTTTCTTCTTGCCAAAGCGTGTTCCAACGTGTCACAAACTAGCGATACAAAACTCGATGTTTAGTACCTGATGCCAAATATGTGTTCCTCTCCTCTGAAATATAAAATTATGGTGCACACTCTTTGCAAGGCCCTGCTTTCTGGAAATCCGGTACCAAATTCCTTGATCGCACAACCCTGATTAATTTCCCAGCTCCCAGACTCCTAAGGAACCGCCCCCCCCCGGCCCCACCGCACTTGACCCAGCTTGAGGTGAACAGTCCCTCTGGAGGGACAAGAGGCCCAGTGTCTCCAAGGGGGGGTGGGCTCCTCACCACGTCTCCCAGTCCTGTTGGCCCAGAGGGTGGACTCCACCACTCATAGACCAAACCGGAGACACAAGGAGCCCGCGGTGTTAGCAGCCCAACTCACTTGCGTTCTGGAAGACTTCCGAGGGCTCCTGCATTGCCCGACCTCTCCACCAATGAGCCTTAGGGTACACCCCACACTTCCCCCAAGATGGCAATGAATGCATTTCAGCAACTACCTGTTTTATTCCCTAAGTCCATTGGTAACAAATGTCACCTCATTAGTCATGTTCTTTTTTTCCTATCCTGAGCTTGTGATGATGACTTATTTATGCCAAATATTCACCTGAAGGAAGTGTCTCCTCACTGTGAATGCACACGTAAGCTATGAAGATGAGAGAGGGCGGCGCCACCTCATGAGCCCAGGGATGACAGCATCTCAAAAGAACACACCAACATCAACTTCTCTTCTCTGGGTCACTTAGAAAGATAACGTAGAGGTTGTATCCCCCCAACATGTTTGCTAAATGTAGTACTATTGGTCATGTTTTTCCCATAACCAAGCCCTCAATGAGGTCTTAAGAGGAGCCGTTACCCAAGTGACATTGCTGGTGAGCTGGCCAAAGATGGCATTTTTTAGGGCTGGAGGAACAGAGACCCACTGGCCATACCAGGCCTCTTATTTGCCAGGGGAGACGGAACTCTCCATTCAGAATCCAAACGGCCTTTGTTATGTCCAGAGGATTAGCATGAAAAGACATTCTTCCCCAAATCTGTTTTTTCAACTATAAGGTTTAGACAATAATCACAAATTATGCTGGTTAGTTAAAGAAAACCCTTTTGTCTCCTTGGTATACAGAATGAGAAGAGAAAACTAGTGTTTGACCAATAAGACCAACTTATGCCATGAAGAATGGGGAAAAAAATTAAAGTATCAAAATTAACTGTTTAACACACTCTCGTTCAAAGCATCTTGTTTGCTGTCACTTGACTGTTTTTCTGAAGGAAGTACACAGAATGTCTCAGGTTGCCTTAAAGGAACTGTGAAGGCTTCTCAGTAATTTACGTTTGATCGGAGGGAACTGAAACATTGTCTAACGTATTTGTGGCTTTAGAGCTTCTGTTATATTGTGCCTACAAAGCAAATTATGTTTACATAAAAAAATATGAATAAAGTATTCAGCATAGCATAACCTCGCCTGGCATGTGTTACTCCACATACATAGTTGTTGCAAAAATGGCCCCACTATTAAAACGCAAGGCATGGGTGAATGAAAAAGAAAATATAAAAAATATGTCATAGAAGAATCTTCAGATGAGAAACTAAAGGCTATATATAGAAAACAGGAGTCAAGATGAAATAAGCCTTTAAAAATACATTCGGCTTCCCTCAAGCAAGAAAGTAAGACACCACTAAATAACAGAACTATTAAAGGCATCATGTAGTAATAGCAATGATAACAAGAATAACAATAATTATAATAGTATTTATGATACCTACCATATGCTATTAAAAGATATATACGTGTATATATGTGTGTGTGTGTGTGTGTGTGTATGTGTTTATATGTATACTCTCTTACCCTCCCGACAGCCCTGAGAGGTGGGGTTTACCATTACGCCCATCTTATAGGTGAAAAAACTGAAGACTGAGGTTATGCACTAAGACCACACAGCTGGGAAGTGACGGAGCCAGGACCTGGAGCCAAGGTAGAATCCATGCTCTTAACCACCCCACCATGCTTCTTGGCTTAAATAAGGGTACAATACAACGCATTTCAATTACCATCCCTTCTCACTAGAAACTGTTCAGGGATTCCCTTTCCTCTGATTTCAAGGATATGTTTATCCATTTGTTTTGCTTTGTAGCAAATAATATGCACACCAAGAAGCATTTTTTTGTCTGGCCCTCGATCCAAGTGTTCAGTGAAGTGCTGATTTCAAAACTCACACACCTCAACCATTTTCATTTTCATGATCTAACATCCTCAAGGTTATCAAAGAGATGCACAAAAGTGAATATCCAAGGGGAAAGATTTCACGATGGAGGAATTCATGATTAGGGAGGCTTGGCTGTATTTACTATATTTCTCAGCAGGAAGCCAAAAAAATTAGAGCTAGGTCCCATGTCAATAAAACACCACATACATAAACCTGAATTTACAAGGTAGAACAGTTAGTCACCTTGTCAGTGAAATTCTTACAAGATCACTGTGCAAAGGATTTTCTCATTATGTTCTCATTTAATGCTCATGTACTCCATATAAGGCCCATGGCCTCACATAGCCAGTGGTGGCGTGCTGTCACATGTAAACACAGTCCAGCAAGAAAAACTGGAATCTAAACTAAAATCCACATCTTCCCTTATAACTCTGAGAGTGGGGAAGAGGTCTTGCAGTTGGGAACAAGATTCTTTTCAGCCATGTGGGTGAGGTTAGAGCACAAATGGAGGTAAACCTTTCAAAAGCCATTTGGGGCAGAAGGAAACATTAGTTTGAAAGCAAGAAGGCGGGAACATTGAAGGGCGTATAGGAAGAAAGGAGAGTATAACAGTAGGTGAAATACACTCACGTGGAAATGGAGTAGAGCTGGAGAAAGGCATGATGGGAAGTCCCAACTGGGCATGGAGGTCTTTGAATGACAAGTGAATAATCTTGGATTTCCATGGGAGGGAACAAGCATGTACAATGGTGTGACATGAAAGCTTGCGGGTGTGGCAGGTGATTACAAAGAGTAAATGTAGGGTTCAGTGGGAGGAGGGATATAAGATGAGCCTAAAGCGGGTGCAGAGACAGACGTCAAGTTCCTTGATTCCTCTGCCCCGGTTTCGGTCCTCCAGAATCAGACGCTGAAACAAGGATTTGAAAGTCAGCAGTACTGGGAGGTGATCCCAAGAAGCACGGATTGGGGAGAGGGAATGTAAAACAGGAAGGGAAGAAGCCACTTCAGCGTGGGTTGGTGAGTAGGTGACCACTGTGGGAGACCATGGAGCTGTCCCACTTGGTGAGGAAGGTGCATTTCTCCATTAAGTTCCAAGCAACATTGGATGAAAGTGACTCCTAACAAGCATGTTGGTTCCCTGATGCTCTTCCATCTTGTACAGCAGGTCTAGAGGAAGGGCAGAAATGGACACCAAGATATGTAACAAGGATTCAGAGAGGCAATGTTAGGGGGCAGAGTGGGGTGCAAAGTAGGGAGGGGCCAACTCTGTGATGGAAGATGATGTCCCGGAAACTGTTCATGGAGGAGGTGATGCCTGAATGCAGTCTTTTAAGCTGAGTGGGTGTTGTTCGTGAGAATGAAAGCACACAGCATAGTGCCTGATACCTAGTGAGCATGATAAACATTAGCTTCCTTTCCTTACTCCTGTTTGCCAGGGCTGGGAAAATGGGATGCTTAGGAAATATTCAGTAGCTTCTTTTAAAAAAAAAAACAAAACAGATAATATACAGACCTCAATATTTCACTTCCAGGTTTGCTTGTGGGAGAAGAAATAAGTTGTTATGGACTAAATGTCCATAATTCATAGGCTGAAATTCATAGGCTGAAACCCTCCCCCTCCCCCACATGAAGGCATTAGAAGGTGGGCCTTTGGGAGGTAATCAGGATTAGGTGAAGTCATGAGGGTGGCACCCTCATGAATGGGATTAGTGCCCTTATAAGTTCATGAGAGACAGCTTGCTTCTCTCTCTCTCTCTCTCCTGTGTGGATAAAAAGATATTGACAGTCTGCCACCCAGAAGAGGCTCTCTCAAGAACTTGACCGCACTGGCACTCTGATCTCAGAATTCCTGCCTCCAGACTGGGAAATAATGTTTCGTGGTTTATAAGCCACCCAGTCTATGATACTTTGTTAGAGCAGCCTAAACTGTCTAAGACATAAATGTTTTTGCATTCTCTGCCTTGAGCAGAATGAGCAGAGTTCCTACTACCAGCCAAGCAAAGATGCTGGGAAACAGGTCCTATGGGTTATTCAAATTGGCTCCCAAACACCCAAACACGGGAGTGACTCAGATAGGGGTGAGTGAAACCCCAACATACCACAGGCATATGCACCCACATGTGCAGAGACTGAGAGCACCAACTCTGGAGTCTTGCAAACTGGGAATCAAATTTGGGCAAATTGCTTGGTATTGGAGCTTTCCCATACTGAAATGGGGAGGATGATATTGTCTAGGTCCTAGAATCATTATGAAAATCAAATGTGAAAGTGTGTAACCAGATTGAAACCATGACCTACAAGTTCCAGTCTAGAATTCACATGGCAGATGCTTTCAAAACATGGTTTTTCATTCACATCAAACACTAATCAAATACCTAGCATGTTCTCAACACAATAGTTTTAGTGTTTTAGCGGGAAAAATAAATACATAGTCTCTTCCAGCCATTCAGGAGTTTACCACTGAAGAATGTAACAACAGTAAGTTTTATCTTGCATGCAAATGGCAATTTATCTGTAGAGCCTGCCTTGGTACTGAGAGCTGGTTGGGTTGAGTGGTGAACAGTGCTGTATTTGATGAACAATGTCCATCAGGAGCAGGGGAGGAAAGCGGTCCAGGAGAAGAAGCCAACTGTAGGCACATTAGGGGGAAAGTGCAGGGCAGGTTCATGGAATGGTCCATTTAGCTGTTGCGTGCATCGAGAGAAGAGACAAAAGATGAATAAGACTGGATTATAGAAATCTACTAATACCCCTTCAAAGGTTCTGGATTTTGTACAAAAAGCAAAGGGATTAATCCAGGGATTACTGGAGAATGTGCTCAAGTAAGAGGTGACCATGGGAAATCTCCCCCAAATGAACATGATTATTTTACTTGGTCCAGTTTTGGAAGGCAG